CACAGACAATTCCTCCTCCTTGCCACCCCCCCTTCGAGGTCAGCGCGAAAGAGGTTGAATGCAGTTGGCCGTCATTTTGCAATCCGTTCAGACGCTATTCAGATGCGTCCGACGCGAGTCCGATTCGACGTAGTCGCGCGATTTATCTGCAGAGCTACGTTCTTATCGTCCATCACGATGTCAATGTGCACGGGGTGATGCTGTCAATCGTAACAACGTCTTAACGATACGTGACAGATCACTTCGGAAGAAGAGAAAGGACCCGTCTCCTCACTCGCCTTGGCAAGGTACATGACCAACGCAAATGCGAGTGCATGTTGTGTTTCGACGTTACCATTTAAAAGCGTGTCAATCACACATCGTCTTACGCAGCTAATATCATTACGCAGCGCTGTATGTCGAACGTTACATGATTATCGGTCCTTCGAAAATTTTCTCGCAAGCGCTCGATGAGATTCGTGCACCGACCGAAAGCGACTATAAATTTTCACTCTATTCGTGTGTATCCTAATAGCGTGAGTTAGACGGAAGGAATCAACATGGATCAAGTAATTCATCAATTGCACACACATCAACACACGAAATATATCCGTGTCTAAATAATCTATAACAATTAGGTACATGCTCACAAGCATTGTCATACATAATATACATATATTATTATGATTTTACGAAATCGATTTTTATAATTGTACATAATTGTAATAAACCGATTAATACGATACTTATGTATCACAACGAGACGATAAACTCTATAATTTAAGAACTGATACTACTACTGATCTATTCTTCTCGTACATTGCGCGTTATAAACTAATAAAAACATTTGTCGAAAGAGAAAGACATTACTTTTAAAGTAGTCAAACTATGCCGAAAATTTTATCAATTATTTGTTAAATATATATTTCATTGAGACATCAACTTATCGATATAAAAAATTTTATTCAATAAATTTTATGTTTAAGGAAGATGACGAAAAAAAACGCTTTGTAAATTTTAATTATCTGTTAACACTCGAGTCTCGTTCCTTGGACCAATCGTCGTAACAAGCAATTTTACGCAAGTGCGTATAATTCTTGGTGCGTGCGCCCTACGAAAATTCGTAGGCTTCCTGTGGAAGAATGAATGGGGACCAATTCAGTTGGCAGCGTGAGGGCTGTTCTGACATTTGTGTCAGAACAGGCTTCTTCATCGCTCGGGAATACGTTACCGGATAATGGATTTTTCTGAAATTCTCGTGTTCACATAGTTTTTTTTTTTTTTTTTTTTTTTTGTAACAACATCCACAACATCAATCGTAAATGTGTAAATTTGAAGCGGCGGTCGTGCTTTTGACCGTTTCTTGATCTAACTTCGTTAAACGCATGAAGATAGAATTATTTTTAGAATTATTTTTTGACAGATTATATAACATGTATTCTTTTTTATCGAGACGACGAAACAATTTAGTGTAAAATCAAGACACTGACGAAGTCGAATATTCAGTTCTCGTGTACCGTGTTTATTGATTTTTTAGCTACTACAACCATGATCTTCGATTGCCATTATCGTACCATAATCGGTAAGTAAATAGCTTTAAATTTCGTCGAAAAAAGAAGAGTAAATAATATCAAATTAAAATATAATATAAAATATAAACTTATTATCTGTTATTATATTATAAAAGCGCCACAAAATTACTTTAAAGAAAAGTAGAGAAGTAGAGAAGTACGAAGATAAAACGCAAGTAATACGGATTTGTAGCAAATTGAATATGATGCTTGAATAAGTATGAACGGCAAATAAGCTCGTCCGGTTTCGTGAATCATCGTTCTTTCTTGAGAAATATGTATATGTTGAGACGTTTGGCGATATTCATGAATATTTATAACTATCCTTGAGATCAACGAAAGAAAGAAATTGCTAGCATTTAAATCTTACAATTAATTAATGAATCTTAGATGAAAATAAACATGCATAAAAATACACGGTGATTTTATAGAAAGTTTGCAATTTTGAAATAATAAATAAAAATTTTTCAATTGAGAACGACCAATGCAAGAATACTATTTCATCGCTGATATTATTATTTGTAATAATATTGCGATAATGTGGTAATTTTTTTTATTTTCACAAGTCGATTCGCGAAATGTCCGGAAGTCACAAGCGATATATCAGATGACCCAGATGATCTGATCTTCAGACCACACGATTACTTTTCCTTTTGTTAAAAGGAATGTTTGGGAAGATAAATTTGATTTAGAATATCGTTTTGAGAGCAATCGTTGATTTTCTATTTTGTATATCGCGCGAAGAGAATGAGTCATCCACGGTACATTGCGTCAAGTTGGAAAAGGACGTGGGACGTTCATTCAATGCGACAATTCACACGATACGGGACACAACGATTCATTCTTCTCCTTTTTTTCTCGTTTTCTTTTCTTCGTTTCTCGTTGTAACGACGATTGCCCGTTGCGCACGTAGGGGACATTGCTTCTTCGAAGAGCTGCCATTCGGAGAGGAGGTAACGTTCGTTGGCACGGGTAAACGTAAACTCGCTTCCGAATGCGACATTATTGTCATTAATCGCACGTGCTCCTCTTTCATTCACGCCGACTCCCACCCGTGAATAACACGATAGAAGCGTTTACATTCACGCCGCGGTTGGTCGGCGCCGATGGGCCGGCGACGCCGTCGCCATCCCGATTGGCCACCGCTTACTCCCGACGTACTATACGAGAGAACGAGAGGAATCGCGAGAGACGATCGCGAAGCGCTATGAATAGAACCAAAGTCCCAGGTCAAGGCACATGAAACGAAGCGTCTCTCGGGTAGTTCCGACAAGGAGTTTGCCTGGTTTCGATTCCGCTGCAATATGGCCGTACCGCCGTACACACGACCCCCATTCTCGGAGCATCGTGTCCGCAAATCACACGTCCATCATACGCTGTTTGCGATATTGTCGTACGTGCTACTGACGAAAGGTATTGACCAAACATTGGTGTGAAAAGCGATCTTTCTCTCTTGCTCGCTCATTCGCGCGCAAATACTACTCGTGCATATTCGCTTGCTGTTATTATGCGTCAACGAGAAAACAGGATGTGATTTATTCACGATGCTCCGACTTCGGGATAGTGTATGAAGCGGGCTGATTAGGTTGTGCGTGCGTGCGTGTCACGTCTATGGTCACGCGTATGTACGCGTATTGCAATTCATGGCTGGCATATGACAAATGGACGATTTTGCATCTGACTCTGTGTCCCTCTATCTCACTATCTCCCATTCCCGTTGCCCATCCGCTTCCCCTGTCGTTTTATTCACTTACTTTTCTTTTCTTTTTATTTTGTTCATCAGAATTAATGAGTTATTTTTACCTCTCTCGTTTAACGACAGAATAATTTTTTTCCTTCGTTGCATATATTTCTTGAAACTGCGTTGAGTTTATCGCAGCTCAATTTATAGAGCTCAAATTTTTTGTTACAAAATTAAAATACGTTATCAAATTACGATTATCAAATTTTAAATACAATATTTTATAATATTTGAAAGCATATCGTAAAGTTTGTTACTTGTAAGCTTGTTACGTTACATGTCTAGTTATGTTCTGTGTATGCAATTTTATTATTTTTATTATAGATGGTACAAGTGTTTCCTTGACTCATCATCATGCAAATGATGTTAATTATTATGATACAACGATCAACAATAGTGATAATATAAGTCCTCTGGAAAAATTTTATCTTATCACTCAACAGAAGTGGCATAAGGATACATTAGTGCCAATCTCCTCATTGCCCTCTACGAAGGGAATGCCTACGAGATCTCATCACAGGTAATAGGCTTATGTAAAAATAAAAATTCATAGTACCAACTGCAATCGGATGGGCAACCGATTAACAACTGATTGTAATAACCTGAGCAATTTGTCAAGTATAATATAACGTGATGTAAGCAATCGAGATTAAATCGTATCCAATTGCAACGTGGTCAAACGGGATGCTTCCGCTATAGCTTGTAGCTATCCCGATATTTCACGAAATATTAAGATTAATTTTTTATCTCAAAGTATTTTTAATACAGAATCCGGCAGTCCGTGACAGGACTGGATGATGCTGGAATGGATCTCCAAGTGACTCAACTCAATAATCCGGCAGACGAGGAAATACATTCCAGGACGACTTTGTCATGGCTAGATTGGCATTTGTCTCACGTTTTAGCGCTTTGTGTAATCGTTGGCATTATATTCCTAGTAAGCGTCATATATTTTTACAATACAGAAAAATATAGAAAATTCATTCTCTTCCTTTTCAGAGACAAGTGACTATTTTAAAATAGTCACTTTATATATTTGTAGAGCCTAATTAATCTTATCTCTATCGTTAAATTATTTGGATATGATTATATAATAAGCACTTTCTGACAGCTCTTGTTATGGCTGCGAAAACAAATGTCGCGTGAAAAAGATAACGAAGATGGCAGTCGGCACGGCCTGGTCGAGGAAGGTGCCACTAGTCAGTCGGAAAAGTTAACTAAAGATGTAAAAGAATCTGTGGAAGCAAAATGGGTTCACGAAGCATTCACGAAGCAATCTGCACCCTCCTACCCGGTACGACCGGTTCCCCAAACCTCTTTACCCGAGGTAAGAGAATCTACTAAATGTCGTTCTCACACAGAATTATAGAATTAAATCATGGGGCATTATAAATAATTTTCATATCATATTGAAAGATGATGTCTACGGCAATAGCTGAGCGTAAACCGGAAGCGATACGTATGAAAGCAAAAGGATTATTGGAAAGACGTGGTTCGAGCACAAGTTTAACCATAGAATTGGCACCAGCTCCTGAAAGTCCACCACATATGGTTACTCCTACACGAGAATGTACAACGGAAGAGTTTTTGTTAAGCGCGGGAAATGTATTGTCGAGAGCACAATTGAAAAGAGTTGTTGAAGGTACGGGAACGTTGCACAAAGAATTTTGGGAGGTGCCGTTAAATCTGCCAGAAAAGGTAGACATTTGCGGCTCAGGAGTGAAGAATAGATACAGCTCTGTTTTACCCAATCTACAAACCAGAGTGGTTCTACCAGGTTCCTCCGATGATCCGCTCGCCGGTTACATAAACGCTAATTATATCCGAGTAGGTGGATAATAATTTTTTGTGAACACTAGTGAAATTGATGATATGTCTTATAATGTATCTTTCGTTATTGAATCGCGCTAAAAGCTACAATAAAAAAACAAATTTACAGGGATACGATGGCGAAAATGCTAGATATATCGCGACACAGGGACCATTAGCTAATACGATAGCAGATTTCTGGAGAATGGTCTGGACGGAAAAAGTTCCTGTGATTGTCATGATAACTAGATTGAATGAAGCATCCAAGCCGAAGTGCGAGACGTATTTTCCCTTTGACGTAAATAGTCGTGTACAAGCTGGATCTTTCACTATTATAGTAAATTATATCGATGCGAGAAACGGATATATCGTTAGAACTATGGAGATTCGGCACGAAGGAGAAAGGAGACATTTGCAACACTATTGGTAATAATTACTATTGTATTCACGAATTAATATCGTCAAACAACTGTAACGAAAACTCTTTATTACGCTTACTCTTTATTAAATACTTACTTTTACCTCTAAATTTGTATATTTCTAAAAAATATATCGATTATCGATTATCGATAGGTACGATTCATGGCCGGACCATGCCGTACCTCAAACCGCAGATGCGCTCGTTAGTATGGCCGCGGAGGTGAACACTTTACCAGGACCAGTGGTCGTCCACTGCAGCGCGGGTATAGGACGAACTGGCTGTTTTATAGCAATAGGGATAGGAATGATTCAACTAGTAAAAGAAGGAAATGTCGATGTATTGGGTATTTTGTGCCAGATGAGGTAAGGCGTATGATATACACACGTTCTAGATTATTGTACGTGATCTTGCACGTCGCGTTTAAATACACAAATGTACAAATACAATAGATGCACAAAGTACCTTTGATATTCTAGATACGACAGAGGAGGAATGGTGCAAACGGCTGAACAATATGAATTCATTCATAGAGCACTTTATCTTTTCGAGCAGACGCTAGAGAGCAAACCATCGACTTCGAGTGATTAAATGAATCTATTTAGAATTTCTTTCGCTTATTCTTTCTTAAAACAAGGCTTTATTATTGCCTAAGAGAATGTCACTTCGCGCAGGGCTGTATGTCTACCGTAAAAAAAGCGTAAATTTCTAACGAATCTCAATGTTAGCCTGTGAACCGACGCTCTCATCTTTATCTCAATATTCGAACGAGTTGAAACTCGTTCTGTAAGCTGCCATTTTCTACTGCCATGACGAATCGTTGACAATTGATATCAATCACAGAGCTCAAGAGATAAAAAAAAGGGTTCACTGTCGGAGTGCATTTTCTAAGCAGGTGCTTTTTAAAACTGAGATATCACAAATAGCTTAAATGGGACAAAAATATTTATGTTTATAATAATGTGCGATCGAAATCGTGCACGAGGCGTATGCTTAAAAATCAAGATTATATTGTTTGATTGATTATAAGTTATGAGCTAGAAATAATCTCTGAGCGTGGGAATAACGTATTCGCAACTCGTATCACAATATTTAGATTTATATAAAAATCGTTTATTAAACTTGGATTTAATTATTTGTACATTCCTCGTGTATTAGAAAATATTTCATTACGTTCTAATAAAATTTTAAATGCGCAAAAATATGTAGGAACAACTTCGCGACTGTAACAATTGATACTAGTACGATACTCTTTGCTATTGTCAAGCATCTCACGATGAAATAAATACATGATACATACACTAAACTGTTAAATCAACGTGTAAAAGCTAAAGTTAATCGTAATTACTTTAATGGGATATAATGTTAAATGTGAGATAAATGTGAAAAATTATAAAATTATAAAATAATATATACATACACATACAAAAATATAATATTATATACATAATAGTATATTTATATATATAATATATAAATAATATATAAATAATTGTTAAAACGATCATTAATTTATGGGACCCAAATCGACTAGATATTGTCTTATATCTTTAGTTCCTATTTGATTTTAAAATATCCTTTATGATCTTCGCTTTTATTTAGCTGACTAAGACTGAACACGGGTAGTCCAATATAACAATTTAAGAAAAAGAAAAGAGAGAAAAAGATAATAGCTAGATGATTAAAATATCTGAATAAGAGCCATTTTAACAGATAAATATATGAGCGAAATATGGTATTATTACGAATATTTATACGTACCTAAGTAACACAGTCCAATATCCTCGAATATATTAAATTGTTGCTAAAAAATGTGTATACAAATATATTAGCTCTCTCTCCAATAACATAATTCGTTTGTTTCTCTCGCTTTGATGCTTATTCAATATAATTATTTATATTATAAATATTTCGATTTAATAATAAAAAATATATATCTTTAGTAGTAAATTCTCTCTCATTTATTCCAGAGGAATATGATGTAAGAAAACTAAATTTATATATAATTCTTGTATTATGTTTCATGTAAAAAAGATCTGTTTCATTTATCTCAATAATTAATACACGCGCGCGCGCAAGATTTTGAATGTTATACAACATTAGCCGATTAGTTATGTAAAAATTGGAAATGTAAATTTAATTTTGAAAATGTAAATGTCTTTTCGCGTAATAACACTTTAAAAAAATTATTATATAACCTATAATGCATTTTATTCGAGTGAATTAATATGAGAAATTTAAATCAACTTGAACTTGAATTATTACCGTGGATTTGCATGACAATAAACGATTATTACAGCGTTAACAATTTATTAATTGATTAAATATAATTAAACTTTTTTGGCTGCTAATATTTTTTAGAGTATTTAATATAGATATTAGAGTAATAATCCATGCTCTAAAGTTCTCGACAGTCGATCAGCTCGAATAATGTCGAAATCCACGGTGTATACCTGTACTAACATGTATTTTGAGATGTTAGAAACTAGCTCGTTTTGCAATTGATGATCCAGTTCGATCATCTCGACTTAGTCTAGCTAAATTAAAATCTAATAAGCTAAACATTACAAAATGTAGAATATCTGGCTTTTGCGGGCATACGAAAATATAATTACAGTTTTATATATGTGCCGGTAAAGAAAAAGTGAAATCCTTCGATATAATCCATATAATTCTTGTTATTCATTCGTATCGGTTAAATGCTTCAAAAGACATATAAATAATTTATGTATGTGCAAACGCATGTATAGTGTGTATACAAGTATAATGTATGTGCTACACGTATACTATGTGTAAATAAATTGTACAGAGAGAGAGAGAGAGAGAGAGAGAGAGAGAAAGATTATGTGTTTAAGAGAGTATGTATTTGTTTAAAACGAATGAAATGACATTATTTATGAATGCACAAAGTCATAATAAAAATGACTTGATATAGATGTATTAATAGATAATGATAATAAACAATAACAATAATAATGTAATGATGATAAATAACAAAAGTAATAACAATAATTTAGCAACCCCTCGGTGTTCAATTGTACTTATATGGTGTAATAAATGTTTATAGCGTGTCCACACAAAAACTGACTAAAAATTAATTTAATAAAAATATTTATACAGTTTGCATTGAAAATTTTACATAGACAAGAAATAACATAATTAAACGCAATATATAGCTGTACGATATAATATTTAATATTTAATTTATCAAAACAATTTCAAAAAAATTTCAAAAACAGGTGATAATTTTCATGTCGCGACTAAAGAATCAAAATAATCATGTCGTAAACAAAAAAAATTCGAAGATACAAAACGGTATCGAACACGTATGCGGATGTGTATACGTATAGTTATGTTTAATAATCTCGTATATGATACACGGAATACTAGGCTATTTACAATTAGGATATGTACACAGATTAGTAAGTACTTACAAGTATTTATCTCGCCCATTAAAAAAGTCTCATAGATAGACTCAATTGATCCTTAAAAGGCGGCGTTTCGTCCCGCGCACACAAATGTGGCCATCTTTGCTCTGCGAGGAACGCACATCTCGTACATATTTTCGGGCTTGCGACATTCGACGTATCGTCACCAATAGGATTCTTATCGCACACACTTCGTTCGTCTCTACATCAAAGTCTCACCGGCAGTTCGAAGCCTAACATGTATTTCCCGTGATAAACTACTCCACGATTCTGCACGGACGCGCGTGACGCGACGCTCCATATATCGCTCGCGCGCGATTGTTCGAACGAAACTAACCTCGATCACGTGACCGAGCGCTGCCGAGCGCTGCCGAGCACTGAACACCGAGCGCGACATAGGATCATATTACCTATATACTTCATACAATTCGGAGAATCCCGGTAAATAGTGTTGTCACGAAAAATAATAATGCGATGCGTTTCTCAGTTACATGTATTATAGTTACAGTTCGTTTCAGTTACGATTTATTTATTTTTACATCTGGAATGATCGAATCTCGAGTCTACGGCTCGATAACTAGCGATAAATAGCGTATTTCGTTGCTCCATCTTTTTTGTTCCCGCTTTTTGTCTTATTCTCGTTTTTTTTGTGTCATTCTCGGTAAGTCAGCGAGACAATTCCTGGAAAGTAAACACGCGTTGCGTAAAACAATGTTTGGCTCGCGGCAAACATTGGTTCCGTGAATATCGAATTTTCATTTAGTTGGCAATTTTACTCCAAAACTTTAATCGAACAAAATATATGTATACATGCGTAGTTCTTTTTAAAACAATTTATACGATGCTAAAAGAATTGCTGCAAAATAGAAAACACTTTATATTGAAAATATAACATCACTTGCACGCACACATTTATTTATGTATTAACTCATAATAAAATAATTGTACATCAAAACACTGAACGTAATATTTGATAATTTAATTTCTGTTTCTAATTGTATAACATTTATTCAGTTTTATTTTTCGAAACATACATCTCCATTAATAATGCAAATGATATTCATATTGCAAAAAGCAACAGATTGACAAAGGATTGTGATATATTTTAGAGCGAAATACTTATTATTATTATTATATAACAATGAATATTTTGTTAAACATGTTTTCATCATGTCCAAAAAATTTTAAGAGAAATATTGCATTCCGAGCTCCCAAAAGAGATCTCGAAACACGGCCCTGCGGGTCGTGGCATGTATAACAGGTTTCACGCGCGCGCGTGTGTGCGTGTGCGCGCGTGTGTGTGTGTGTGTGTGTGTGTGTGTGGGTTGTGCGCGCGCGGGTTGTGGTATCACGGAGTATGCGAGGCTCGGATCTTAGTTCGCGACACGAGATTACCGCGACTTGAGCGACTCGCGGAATAACTCCGTAACTGGTGTAGCAGGAGCAACAACGACGACGAGCGATCTCGTCGTTATTCGCCCTATGCGTTCCCGCGAGTAAAAGCGGAACGCGCGTCATTCGTATCCGTGTGTCGCGCGGGTGCACGCTTCATCTGGACCCGCGAAACCGATTGCGTCGAATCCGACGCGCGATGGTGTCGCTTTGCGTTCGCCGTCATACATATCGATATACGTAAGTCGGTAGTCGATCGCGTTCTAGTGCTGATCGCGCTGGATCGCGGGGAAGCGCGCAAGCGAAAAGAAAATAGTGCGCGAGGAGCGAAGCCGAAGCGAGCCCGTGCGTTGTTACGTGCGGTAATCGTATTCAATCAGCGAGATTTCGTCCGGAAGAGAGAAAAGATATAGCGAATTCGCGCAGGATCAAG